GCAAAGTAGCTTCTGATGCTTTCATCCTCCTCCATTTTTTTAGCCTCTTCCTCGGCACGGCGTGATGCGTCCTTCGCCTCACGGGCTATACGGAGCCTCTCCAGCTCTTCTTGAGTCTTCTGTTGACGTTCCTCACGCATCCTCGCCTCTTCACTTATGGCGTTCCGCATCTTCATGATCTCCTCTTCCGCCATCACGGCTTTCTTAAACGACTCTAAAAGTTCCGTAGACCGTTTCTTGTACTGAAGTATGACTGAGCGCATGTACACTCGTCCTCGTTTCTGCCGAAGTGCCTCATCTACGACGCGCCTCGCCGACATCTTCGAGAGATGCGGAAGGGCCCGCTGTACGCGGTCGTATAACTCGTCCGAGATGGCAGCGGCGGTAGTGCCGGACTCCACTTCGCTGTCGTATGTTTTTAATATCAATGACACAGTGCGCAGATCATTTTGGGACTGCAATACCGTCCCGACCCTCCTGTCGATGCATGCCGCCGCTTGAGACGTGGTGTTTTCCCCCTCTGTTTGCAGGGCATTCCGGTACGTCTCCACCAGAGCAGCATTTATCTTGCCATCGATGGACTCGCAAATCCCGTCAAATGTCTTCATCGTTGACTGGATCAACCTCTGAAGTGTCTCCATTGGGCTCTGCTTGTCCGTCTCCCCGTTCGCCTCCCCACATATCATCTTTTCCGCCTTTACATCTGTCACCTTCTTCTCCAGAAGCTCCTTACGCAACGCTGAGATGCTTTCTGAGAGTGTCCGCAGCGCTTCTTGAGACGGCTGGTTTTTCTGCTTGTGCAGTCGCTCAAGTTCCTTCCGTATACGCGTGACACGTTCACTCAGATAGCCTAAAAGTTCATTTTTTTGCTCCTCCTGCTCCGTCAGCTTGTTCCTGAGTGACTGCGGCAACAAGTGCGCACATGAGGCGTAAGCCTTACTCAGCTCCAGGTCGCGCGATACGGCCTCCCGCTGGAGAGAAGCCCACTCCGCTAACCATCGTCCTCCACGTTTTGTCGTTTCCGCTGATTTTTTATGGGCGTCCATTTTGGAGCGGATGCGCTGCAGTGTCTCTTTGCCCTGCTGTGCCCTTGCCCGCCATTCCATGAGCGCCGCCTCCTGGTCTTCGACAGAGGAGGCAATCATGTGCGCTCGGTGACGCAACGCCACCGACTTCTTCGGCGGCGGCATCCGGCCGCACTGTTGGATGGAGAAAGCAAACAAAAAAAAAGAAGAAAATGCAGGGAGCAGGAGGATACAAAAACAGCCACACGGGCAATAAGCCAGCACCCATTTCCGCCCTACACACACACACACACACACACACACATGAAGAGGAACGGAAGAATTCAAGTAAGAAGAAGAAGAAGAAGAAGAAAAAGAAATTATAGGAAGAAAGGAGAAAAAGAGAACCCATACACACACAAATCCTCACGACATAAAACACATGCCACATGTACAGGGAGATCTCCTAATAAAAGCCCGTAATATTTATATATATTTATATTTATGTATTGAACAGTAAAGGGGAACAGCATTGAAAAAAAGAAAAAAAAAAAAAGAAGAAAAAAGGAATAATAATAATAATAATATATGAAAAAAAAAAAACAGAATGAGGGTCCAACAAAAATTATAAATTCCCACCCCCGGAGAATTGGTAATGGAGTCAGAGAGGTCAACACCACTCATGC